CACTGGCTGCTCAGCCTCTATGCACTGAGTGTCTAGACAGGTCCATATGAACAGGATCCAAACATGTGAATAAGATTAGGGTCGGAATATTCCTCTATACCCACTGATTCTGAAGCACAAAGAGTTAAAAATGGAACAGAAGAGAGTTTGCAGATCACCTCCCCCAGCACGCCTCTGAATGTTCAGATTGAACTTCAAGAATAGGGAAGAAATGCACCATCCATCAAATGACCAGAAATGACCACGGGGTCACAAGAAATATGGGAAAGCAGGAAAATACCTCTTCTCCAAGGGAAGAGAATAACTCATCATCATCATCAGACAGTACAATGAAACTCACAAAAATGTCAGATAAAGAATTTAGAATATTCATAGCTAACAAAGATGGAAGAGAAGAGAGACAATGAACTGCAGAAGAGGCAGGAGAAAGGACCTGAAGAGTTCCAGGAGGTGATAAATTTCTTGCAAGATCTAAATGTGGAAATAAACGCCATAAAAAGAATCAAAGGGAACTGTTAGAGATTAAAACTATAATACAGAAAGTCAAAATTTCCCTTGAAAGTATTAAAAGCAGACAGGCAAAGAGACTCATAAGGGCATTGATAATCTATTCCATGAAATCCTGCAAGAAAACTTTCCAAACCTAGAGAGATATTCAAAGATCCAGTCCCAAGAAATACAAAGGACCCCAAATAGAATCAACCCAAGAAGATCTCCAAGACACATTATAGCCAGATTGACCAAAACCACAGACAAAGACAAGATACTAAGACTGGCAAGAGAGAAACGTCAAGTTACCTACAAAGGATATCCCATCAGCCTAACAGCAGACATCACATCGGAAAAAATGTGAGTGAGGAAAGAATGGGAAAGTATGTTCAGAATGTTAAGGGAAAAGCAATTTCAACCAAGAATACAATGCCCAGCAAAATCATCCTTCATATGGAAAGAAAAGACAAAAACATTCTCAGATAAACAAAATCTGAAAGAATTTACCAACACCAGACCAGATCTCCAAGAAGTTCTCAAAGGAGTGCTATACCAGGAAAATTAAATACAGACACACAGAGATAAGAGTTCAAAAACTAAGAAAATGGCCAATGTACTAGTAGAGACATGTCTGGAGTTAAATATTATATTCCACAATTTAAGTGGTAAGATCGAATCACAACAGAAAATCAGTTAAGTATATGAGAATGAACTGGTCAAATAGAATATTATGACTTTAGACTAAAACATTGCTGATTTTCTTCTTGGTTTTGTTTTCCAGTCTTAAGCCCCAGACTGGGTATAAAACATTTCTCTAAAATTTCCACAATTTTCTAAAAGTTAAATGGTTTACACAAGCAATAACAACAGAAACAGAAAACTCAGGTAAACACCAATCTTTTCTTCATTAATCTCAGTTAAGATTTTTTCCTTTAAATTCAGTTCAAAAGAGATCTCATTTATAAATTTCACCAACTCAATAAGAGTGTGTACTTCTAACTACATAGAAGCAAAACAACCTAACAAAAATGTGATTTATTAAAGCTAAAATTGCTTTTCTTGAAATTAAAAATATATTAAAAATACCTATTTAATGACCATAGTAAGCTATGTAGCATCAGGTAGATGTTACTTTATATTATATTCATTCTACTCAGAGTTTCACCATAGTAAGCTATGTAGCATCAGGTAGATGTTACTTTATATTATATTCATTCTACTCAGAGTTTCACAACTAAAATCAGACCTATGTTCACAGATATCTATATACGAGAGAACTTGTCATTGAAGTAGCTAGATTACTTAAGAAATTTTGTGAATCAATAAAATGTGCGGGGGGTAAGAACTCAGGTTACCCAAAAAACAGCATAGAAACAAACCAGACTGTCTACCAAATTTGGGGAGGTCCTGGGCCTGAGAACTTACTGAATTTCCCCAAGGAGAAGCTTTCAAATAGAGAGATTACAAAGGACCCACTGCACTGGTACCAGGCACAAGCTTCAAAAGAACCTCTTGATAGAGCTCCAGTTTCTCTCTAGTCCATTGTCAGGTCACCATCATCGTCAAAGGAAATAACCAACTCTGAAGAAATAATAATTAATGAGAATTACTTCTAAACACAGATATGAGTGACTGACCCAGAGAAAGGCGAGCAAGTCTTTCTCGAGGTACTCCAATACAAGAACTCCTTTATTTGATTTTAAGAGGGAGAGACAAAGGTTTGGAAAGAGTTTTTTTTATTAGTCTGACCTAAAAAGGTGGGACATCAAGAAGGAGAAGCTTGTAGATTATAAATGGGCTTTACAATTTTTAACCTGGTAATTGAAAGGGAAGGTCTTGGGAAGAGATGAACAAAAGAATGCACTGTAACAGGTTTAATGTACATCTCAAAGATATCACGCCAGGGACAGGAGGTAGAAAAAATTCCTGTTATTAATGAAACACAATGGCCTGTCACTGTTTGTAGGTGTGACCACCTCCCCCCTCCCACCTCAACTTTGGAAAGGTGTTTTTGGCAAACAGTCAGACTTTTGCTCTCAAAACCAGATGCCACGAATGAGAAGAGGGTGTAGCAAGGAGTCTTATACAATAG